TATATCACAATGATTTCAACAAGCATACCAAGTGCAATTGAGCAAATGCAGAAGTTTCCAATTGATGTTAAAACCTGGAACCATCAAATAAATTTAATTAGTAATGAAGTTACATCACAATAATTTCATTTTCACACAACACTAAGCTTAGTCATGACATTCTTATAAGTAATGCATGACACAAAGATTTTCATCTCTTTCAGCCTTATTATCATAGGTGGAGAAACAAAGAAGACCTTCTGGAAATGCCCAACATGCGAAGTGTTTTCAACCAGATGAGCTGCCTTCCCAAAAAATGTGTGAACACCAGTTGCAATGACCACTGCTTCAATTTCACCCTGCTTACACGTTGAACCCGAGTAAACTCCATCACCAGGATTCTTGGTTACTGGAAGTGATTCTCCAGTAAGTGCAGACTGCAAGTGACAACCATATTGTCAAATCCAGAAAGGTATAACGTTTGCAAATGGTAGACAACCTTTTGCATTTCATTTCAGAGCAATATCCATGTTAAGTTATAAACAAAAAAAATCACAACACAATATTTAACCCGAAACAGATATTGTGAACAAATAAGCTCATGCTATTTGCAGAAAATGATAACCTGATCAATCTTTAAAGGATCTCCTTCAAGAAGACGTGCATCAGCAGGAATGATGTCACCAAGTTTGATACTAATAATGTCCCCAGGCACCAACACTGAAGCATCTTCCTCACTCCACTTTCCATCTCTTAGGACCTGGTAAGAGTAGCTAGAAAGTCAAAACTAAGTAGGAGTTGAGATTTAATGCCTCAGGAAGCCAGATGAAAAGTTCACATATGAAATAGGAGAAGCTTTAACAGACCTTGGCTTTGGGAGCCAACCGAGCCATAAGGGCAGCAGCTGCATTGCCAGCATTGTTTTCCTCAATGAAACTGATGGTGGAATTGATCACAAGTAAGATTACTATACCAACAAAATCATGATAGTCTGGACTCTTGCCCTGCAAAATGAGTTGGTATCAGCAGCATTCCATCACTCATCCAACACTAGCAAAATTGCCCCTTGTAGAAGTTGGCTAGTTCCGAAACTTTATTAAATCATTTCATCTTGAACCATAACTTAACCAGCACAAAATCTAAATCAAAGATCTCATTCAAGCGCAATATCCCATCAACAAAAACACTTAATAAGCTGATCCTGCAAAGAGATAAAAAGAGTTGGGATATAGACTTACCCCTCCATGTGCAAGAGCAATGGCCATGATAGCTGCTGCTTCCATGACCCATGATAGAGGATTCCACATAAAGCCCAAGAACTTTAGAATTTTACTTTCCTGTGGAGGAAAGGGAATTAATGAATCAAGACATGAAATATAAAAGGCATTAAAGAAAATCAAAATGGAGTATAATTGACATTTCCTTCCAAACCTTTTTCTCTTCAAGTTTGTTGTGTCCAAACAAATCCAACCGCTCTTGAACTGCATCAGAGCTCAAACCATTTTTTGTACATTTAAGATGGTCAAAAACTTCTTCAAGGGGTATATTCTCCTGCACGAGCCATTTTGAAATTCAGCAAATAGGCATTAAGCATAAGTCATCCGGAACAGAATGTTCAAAAAACATCTTCTACCTTATTTTTCCTTTTCTTCTTTATTTTTCTAAGAAAGTTTAGTTATTAAAAAAAAATAAGAACATTATTATTCCGTTAATCATTTGTCAATACAGGATAAATATTCAGAAGCAAGGCAAAGGAAAAAGAAAAAAAAAAAGGACAATTTCGCCAGAAAGAAGAATTTAGACAATTTTGACAAACAGAAGAATTTTAATCATGTATGAAAGAATTTAAGAATTTCACAGATAGATGCCTTATATTGAAGAATACAATTTAATATTAACAAAAAACAATCCTTAAGGGAAGATTCTTCAGATGGTAAACAAACAAACCATGCTGTTATGCACATACCAGATCAACTGCTTCCTTGATGACAGCATCAAGAGCAACTGACTCATCAACCATCGTAGATATCTTTCAGCTTTGACTGTCCACTCTGCAAGATGCTGGTATTCGCAAGAAATTCTGCATTACCAAGCACTTCATGTCAAGCCACCAAATTCACTAAAAATTACATCCACTGATTTTATTCTTGCTGATTATTATTAATTTATAAATTTTAATCCATAAATGTGTATGAATTTTTTTTTGACCTCCCCTTTCATTCAGTGACCAAAAACAGAAAAAGCCGCAGTTGAAACTAGAACAGGTGTAAAGATAATAGAATAGTGATGGTATTAAACACAACGCCCCAAAGAAAGGGGGAAAAGAATTTGCAAACAAGAAAGTTTTCAGTTTCAACTCATTCAATAGCTATTAAAATAAAGCAAATTCAATCACATTGAAGGACATTAATTACAGCCTTGATTTAATAAATAACGACATATATTTGACGGAAGACTAACAATCAAAATTCTTCAACATAAAGAAGATCTTAGCAATTAGCCCCTGCCGGCACACTGTTTGACAAAATTCTTGAAAAAAATTCTCGAGGTTCAAGAAGAGATAAGCTTTGATCCTAGATCGACACCAGAGAAAGTACATACACACACACATATATATTTATATATATATATATATAAACAAACAAGGAGTGACCCATCAAAATCAATTTGAAGAGGGCAAAGTAGCAGATAAGCAGCCAAATAATAAAGTGCTGATAGGAGAAAAACCTAGACAGATCCTAGCCAACAAGCAACAGAGAAGAGACAAATGGGCACAGATGTGGGCGAAGAAATGTAGGGGCATGTTCGATGAATATAAAAGCTCCATTTTGCAATAAGACGGCCATGTTCGCTTGTGAAGGTCCGCCGGCCATCATCAGCTAATAAGTAATAACCGTTACAAAGAAAAGTTCAAAATTTTAAATGCCAGTGAGCTTTTGCCGCCATATCATAGAAATGCTTGTTTCTTTAAGTTCACGTCACGTCGTCTACTTCCGTACTATGCTTTCCAAAAATCACAAACCTTTAAGAATATATATATCCTAGCCAACAAGCAACAGAGAAGAAGACCAAATGAGGACCACAGATGGTGGAGCGAAGAAAATGTAACAAGGATGGCATGTAAATCGAAAATGAATATAAAAGCTAACATTTTGACAATAAGACCGGCCATGCGACTTAGTGAAGGTCCAGCCGGCCATCAATCAGCTAATAAAGTTTAATAACCGTTACAAAGAAAAGAATTTCAAAATTTTAAATGCCAAGTGAGCATATATTGCAACGCCATATCATAGAAATGCTTAGTTTCCTTTAAAAGTTCACGTCAGCGTCGGCGTCTACTTCAACAGTTAACTATAGCTTCCAAAAATACACAAACCATTTTAAGAATAATATAATATAATACTATAATATATAATAATATAAATAAAATAACATATTTTGACCACTGAAAAACTTGCGCTATTCATATAACTGATTTATCCTTCACTGTTCCCTAAAGTTTGCGATTAACACCTCCTAATAATTATATCAATCAGCACAAATTAAAATTAACCTTCTAAGGGAGATTTCAAATTATAGAATTATAAATAAACAGAATGATAAGGTGAAGACTTGAAAATATCAATAAGGAAGATCCAGAACTCAGAAACAGAAAATCGAGAACGAATGTTCTTGTGTTATTACTAATTATACTGATGTTATAGTCAACAATCACTGAAAAACATTATTTCTCTCCAATATAACGATTATCAATTTTTTAATACAAACCGTCATCTTACCAATTTGGAAAGATACTAAAAAATCCAGAGCAACGAGCTTGTTCCAAGAGTTCCAAGATCTTACCACCTTGTATTTTATGAAGCCGCATTTAAATATCCCAGAGACAAGCCTTTCGATACGGCTTTCCCCAATTAATTAAAATTTAGGGATATAGAACTTTCTCCAGGGATAGTCGACCACTAGGGTTAAAGATAGCCTCTACCCAATCTCACGACAGAAAGCCCAACCATAAAACACAAACATACAATACAATTTATACTCATATAATATTATAATAATTTATTAATATATAAAATACATAATTTTGACCTGAACTTGCGCTGATTATCTGATTATCCTTATGTTCCCTAAGTTTGCGATTTACCCTCCTTAATAATTATATCATCAGCCAAAATTAAATAACCTTCTGGGGTTCAATTATAGATTATTAACAGATGATGGTGAAGATTGATAATTCATGGAAGACCAGACTCGAACGAAATCGGACGATGTTCTTGTGTTATTACTATTATTACTGATGTAGTCCAACTGAAAAATTATTCTCTCCATTAACGTTATCATTTTTATAAAAACCGTCTTCTTCAATTTGGAAAGATACTAAAATCAGAGGCAACGGCTTGTTCCAGGTCCAAGATTTTCCTATGTTTTTGACGCTTTAATTATCCCAGAGGACAGCCTTCGTACGGCTTTCCCCAATTTTAAAATTAGGGATATGCTTCTCCAGGGTGTGCCACTGGTGTTAGATGCTCTACCCATCACGACAGCCAAACCTAAAACAAACATACATATACAATTTTCTATTAATTTATAATAATTTTTAATTTTAAATAGCCTGCATCAGGCATAACAACACTAGCACACGACAATTTAAAGTTTTCAAACACAATGACAAGGCCAATTTTTTACAGTTGAAGATGAAGAAGAAAGAGGAGGAGAAATTTCAAACCCTGGGCTTTGGTTTCTTCTTTTTGGATTGGGTCAGTTGGTTTTGTCCTTTCAAAACATTTTGGTCAAGATAATGAACTATTGGGCCAATAACCAGGTTCTGTTGAGCACGTCCGACTACCAAGCTAATCGTATTCCAATTACAGAACGACAGTACGTTGATTTTACATACACAAGTCAGCAGACGCCCCGTCGTTTAGGATGATTTATTTTTTAATTTGGTGAGGAACGAGATTATTATTCAAATTGAAGTTCAAGGACTATAAAATTAAAAAAGTACAATATTTTTCTTTTGAACTGAAAAAAAAAAAAAAAAGAAAAAAGAAAAAGAGGTACAATTTAAGGAGTAAAATCTTGTCTTCGCATAATGATTGATTTTAAGCCCACATCTAGATCTGGACCAAGTTGTAGAATCTGAATCCTTTTCGCGTTACTCTCGCATAGCGATTCCTTACTCTCGGTACAGCTCTGCTTCTCTCTATACTTTCTGTCGCGACAGTGTTCATGTTTCCATAATAACGTCTGGTTTCGACTAGACATGGCTGACAATATAATACATGTCTTCCTTTTTTAATGGTGTTTAGAATTTTCTGACTGTTATGGGAGACGGTGATCATGGTTTAAAATGCATTAGTGTACGTTAGCTGTTTGTGAAAAATTCCAGCTGAATCTATTCGATTCCATTCACATCTGTACAATGGAATTCGGGTCTAAATATCTGTATACTTAACCTTAACTCTGTGGTAAATTTTCTGAAAAAGATATTCATATTTGCGGTATCGTGAATCCTTTGATCAACTGGAATTCTATTAATAGCAAAAACATGAAAATGTTTTTTGGTTATCAATTCTGGGGACTAAAGGTCCAGATGTTCTAATTCTACCTGCGAAAACACGAGTGTTTTTTGTTTTCTTAAATTTAGTATTTTTATCATGTTTTTTTCAATCACATACTAACTGCAATTCACCTTGTTTTCTGTTATTACAGTAAAGTCGCTGATGGACTGTTGGAAAGGTATTCTAAAGGTTCCAGTGGACCCAACCAGCAGAAGTTACTGCAGAGTTGCTGTATCTCTCTGCCTCTCGCCTAGTTCTAAATCACTAACAGTAAGTTGTTCTTTTTCCTTCAATTGTCAAAAGTAATGCTTTTATTGTCTGCAATAATTTATTAGGAAATTCTGAAACACCATGAAATGTATATAGGTACCCTCAGCAAATGCCATCTTCTTTTCTGGAGATAGAGTTGAAGGGACCGAGAATCCGGTGATTGAGAGACTATCTGATCTGCAGAAAATAGCCGAAATTTTGGTCTCTAAATTTGGTGGTTCTGTTAATGCTTGGGTTATTGAAGCTTCAAGTTTCAATGGCCCTTTTGCTGTTTATAAAGATTTCATTCCATCTGTGAATTGTTGGGGGGAACCAAAATCCTATAGCCCAGCTGGATTCCCAGCTTCTACTTCAACCATCTCACTCTTATCAAATTGCATTAGAGAGGTATGTTACCAGTCGATAACTTAAATACTATGATGTTCAACATGTTTGCTTCAAAGTGGTTCATGAAAGATTGGTGTACATGTAAATTATTCTCAATATCAATACAAATCTTTTTGAGGTATTGAATTCTTACTAGGGAAATCCATATTGTGTTTGCACTTAATGGATTTACCTGTCAAACATTTTGGTTGCTTTCGCAAGTCATTTATTTACAAGAACCGAGAGAAACCGAGGCTGATCGAAACTCCAAATTACCATTAACGTTGAGCTACTACTTCATATTGTAAATTTTTCAATATGGCAGGCAAAAAAGGTCATTTCAACAAAAGAGAAAGATCCAATTTCTGCGAGTGCATCATCAGCTTCTTTTTACGAGCCCAAAACATACATCCTTGGATTCAGCAAGGGTGGCATTGTGCTTAACCAGCTAGTAGCTGAGTTGAGTGTTTCAGAAGTAAAATTAAATTCAAAAGAGCAGCATATGAACAGGAAATGTTCCCAAGAAGACATTCAAATCATACCACGCAGTAAAGAAAGTCTTCTAAACAGCATTACAGAGATCCATTATGTGGATGTGGGTTTAAACTCGGCTGGTGCATATATCACTGACCATAATGTGATTGAGAGAATCTCAAAACGTCTCACGCAAGGAGCTCCAGGAATCCGTTTCGTCCTTCATGGAACACCCAGGCAATGGTGTGATAGCAGGCGAGTTTTGATACGTAATGAAAAAGACAAGTTAGTTCATCTACTTCAGTCTGAAGCTAGAAGGAGCGGAGGGAAACTAAAGGTGTGTGAAAAGTTTTATTTCGCTGATAGGCCTCCAGATTTGCAAATGCACTTTGAAATAATTCAAAGTATGGATGTTAGTTGACCAGTTAACTGTGCATATTTTAATTGACACTCTCATAGCTGTATCTATAAATTTTGATGGAAAAGATAATGATATACTGTTTGCTTTATTCAGTACTTCTAACTGAAGTGATTACTTTTTTTTATTTTTCATTTTCTTTGAATCAATGTAATACTGAAGCATAAATTATCACCTTAATTGAATTATTTAGAGGTATCATGTACCGCAGCATCAGCTAAAGAATTCAATTGAATTCATAATTTTGAGTATTTGGTAGATTAAAAGTTCATTTCAATTCCATAAATTTGATTTTATAGAATTGGACATAATTAAATCAAATTTCACCAAATTTAGTGGAATTTCAGATAAAATTTCACCAAAATTAGTGGAATTTCATATAAATTCCACAAAACTTGGGACAAAATTTCCATATTTTCATTCTCTCTCCTTTCTCGCTTCTCTCGGTTGCTCTCTCTCTCTCTCTCTCTCTCTCTCTCTCTCTCATTTTCATTTTCTTTCTTATTTTATTTTTCTCTTTTTATATCACATATAGAATTAAACTTTAAATTTCTTCCAAACATAAATGAATTCCACATTTTTGCTTATCATAATAAACACAGAAATTCATATATAAATGATATTATTTCTTGCATCTCTGCTGTTTCGCATGCAAACACAAACTGAAAAGGAAGGAGAGTTCAGAGTAGGTCATAGCAAATGTACGTTTTCTTTTATCATTACAAGAACCTCAGTATAGAAAGGTGAACAAGCAGGGTTCACGGACACCATTTATTTAGATATAATTAATAACAAAAAGATGTTGAAGCCCAAGGCTCCAAAAGCTTTATTTCTCTGTGTCACCACTGCACTGCTTCATTTTAGTTGATGCTGAGCAAAGAAAATCGGGAAAATGAAAATTAATTTAACTAGTATTACTTATGGATCATGTTAGAAAGCAACTTAACTATAGTGAAAACCAAAAATGGAGCAAGCAGGAAATAAAAAACTTACTTCTGACAGTTGATGTTTTTGGAGATGGGAATGTTCACTTCAACCCCACATTTTTTAGGGAGAGAAGAGGCAGAATCTTCATTTATATTTGGATAGTGAGAGGCAGCAGCCTTAGCACAGTCGCAGGCAGCTCGCCTGTCGGCTGTGGTTGGAGCAAGTGCCTTCAAATTCTTGACTCCACCACAACATGCAGCTGATGGAGCGGTGTCTGCTCCAGTCAGGAAGGGAATGCAAGGGGCTAAAGCCGAATTCACTTGCCCACAATCCACAGCCTCTCCTGGCATTGCCATTAGTTGAACAAAAGCTACAACAATCAGAATTGTTATGATTGCTCCCTTCATTTTTGCTAGTATCACGAGTGCTTAACCTTGAGCTTGTATATCTGTTAGTTATTTGAGTCTGATGAGTGAAGGCAGAGGCTGAAATGTGGTATTTATAGCCTCTTCAGAGATAAGAAAGCTAATACATGTGGGTCATGGACTGATGTAGAACATTAGAATATTGGTTACATGATTTTGGCTTCTTCTCTTATTTGAAGTATCACTTTGTTCATCTTTAACAGTAAAGAGGATGAGGTTCTGGATAATTTTTCAATCTCCTAAGAGGTTCCTGTGGATCTTTCTTACGTCAATAACTCTTCCTATTGTCATGCCAAAACCGAAACGCAACTGCAGCTATCCTTTCCAGGGCTTTACATATTTATCAGTATAGTGAAACTTCCATTAATCTTAATCAACTATTCCATTGGGAAAAAGTTTGTAAAAAAAAACTAAAAGAAAAAGTTTGTAGCTCAAAAACAAAAACCAAAAAAATTTATTAAAGTAAATTATAAACAGTATATTCATTTAGACGAAGATATTTCTAACCATATATATTGGGAAAAAAAAAAAAAGTAGTAACATTTAAAAAAAAAAAAAAACCTTTATTTGCTTGGATTAGTGTATAAGATTATCTATGCATCGGACGCATGTAAAAAATTTTTAACAAATAATAACTATTAAAATAATTAATTTTACGATATTCTTGGTTACTGTTTAGTGTAAGATGATTACCCCCACAGGGTTTTGGGAGGGCACCTGAAAGATAATAGTAGTGCGGCGTCGTTTTTCAATCATTCGCATTGGCAGAGCGACAGGATGGATGGTTAAGAACAGAAGTCTCGTTTACAAGAGTGTAATGTTTGACGAGACGCATAAAATGTACTCACATAATCGTGCGGTGTCGTTTCTGGAACACCGGCGGTCGTCCGACGACGAGATGAAAAAGAAAAAAAATGAAGAATTATCTGAAGAAGGTGAAAAAGATTAAGATTTCCTGTGGTTGTTACAGAATCTAAAAATGATGAGGAATTCTTGAAAAAGCCGAAGGAACTGGTTTTTTTAGTGGTGGTAGATTTGTATCGTCGTTCTTGTGGAAGCTAAAAGCATATGGATTAAGGGTTTGCAAACCAGAGTTAGGGTAGATTGCAAAGCAGGACACTAACCGAGAAATCAAGATAGTAATGAACTCAAGAAATCATGCTAACTGAATGTTTGGAATCAGCGGTTCTATCTGGTAGGTATGTATATAAAATGCGTTTCGACCTTTCGGGCTCATTAACTGTTCGACGAGATTCCTCAAAGGAATATAGTTGTCTGGAATACGATGATATGGATTTATACGCATTGGAGAAACTATGAAATGAAAAATGGAAACCCAAACAAAGTTGGGGCTCTGGTTCAAACACTACCGCATTGTCCATGATTGCAGCGCGTGCATGTGAGATATAGCATTCAATACTGCTGCCAATCATCTTCGGTAGGTTTCTACATTAAACTTCTGCATTTCTTTGCACTTTTGTTTCAGGAAAGTTGCATAGTTCATTAATCGTGTCTGGTCTCCACTCCACTCAAAATTGTTTCCCTCGTCGTTTTGCTTTCACAACTTGTTTTGGAAATTTCTTTTGCAATTGATAACATTGATCATGGTTAAATGCGTAAATGTAAAACTGTTTGTGAAATATCCCAGCTGAATCTCTTTAATGCCAGTGGTTATCTTATTGCAGAGTTGCTGGATTTCTAGCTTCTCTTAATCATATTCCTCTTATCAAGTTTGCCTCAGAAAGTTATGTTATTAGGCCTTGAACAATTTAATTTTTTCTTGGAAGTGATTCATGAAAGATAGCTAATTTGCCTTTATCGTAATTATTCCCACAATCAATACAATTCTTTCAGAGGTATATATTGAATTATTCTGATTGTTCTGTTCTTGTTTTTTCACATGTACCATAAGAATAAGAGTATCTTTTAATGAAATGAGTTTTTATTTAAATCATTGAAGGACTCGTAACAATTTTGTTTAGATATAAAGTATACAGAAATTAAGGAGATGCCAACATCGGAGACTCTCGAAGCTTTATTTCTCACTGCAACATGCCTTCATTTTAGTTGATGCTGGACAAAAAAATTTGGGAAAATGATCATTAGTTTAACCAGCATTACTTACAGATTCTAGTCAGAAAGTAACTTAATTATAGTCAAAACCAATCAAGCAACTAGAAAACTTACTTCTGACAGTTTGTGTTTTTGGAGATGGGAATGTTCACTTCAACCGCACATTTTTTAGGGAGTGAAGAGGCCGAATCTTCATTTATATTTGGATAGTGAGAGGCAGCAGCCTTAACGCAGTCGCAGGCAGCTCGCCTATCGGCTGTGGTTGGAGCAAGCGCCTTCAAATTCTTGACTCCACCGCAACATGCAGCTGATGGAGCAGTGTCTGCTCCAGTCAGGAAGGGAATGCAAGAGGCCAAAGCCGAATTCACTTGCCCACAATCCACAGCTTCTCCTGGCATTGCCATGAGTTGAACAAGACCTACAACAACCAGAACTGCTGTGACTGCTCCCTTCATTTTTGCTCCTTGCTAGAGTGTGTGAACTGCTTAGTTAACTGTGATATTGAGCTTGTATGTACGATATATTTCTGTGTGTGAGTGGGATTCTTTATCAAAGTGGTACTTATAGCCTCTTCAAAGGTAACAAAGGTAAGCATGTGGGTCATGGACTGCTGCACGAGCATAACAATCGAGAATATTGGTTACATTATTTTGGTTTCTTCTCTACTTTGAAAGGCCACTGGCTTGCCTTTAACTGCAAAGAGGATGAGCTTTCTTTTTTTGACAATTTTTCTATCACCTAACAGGCTTGAGGATCTTACCAATCTTGGGCCAATTTTCGGCAACAATTTTCTAAGATAGCGTTTAATAAAAATTTTAGCTGCCTTTATTATTTAGAGTATTCGATGGTGTACAATCTATATTAGTGTGCTCAAAATTTGAAGGAGCAAATTGTAGCAACTAATTTTACTGAATAAGGCCTTGGTGTGTTCTTTATTGTGTTTTTACCAGTAAACATGGCTCTAAGGCTGTATTTTTTTTTAATTTTATAATACACAATATACAAATGTTTTATCTTTGACATGTTAAATCTCAACTCTCGAGAATGTATCTCCGTAGATACAGTGAAAGTAAAACTAAGGTTCTAAATTCGAATATATAAGATTTAATAACTCTCCATCTCTCGAAATTAAGATTTGTTTGTTAAAGTTAACTCAAAGAGTCCAAACTCCAAATTACAAAAGATTTATTAAATGAGAGGATTTTTGTTTGCAACTTGAGCCCTTTTAAGCCAAAATGAAAATTGGCTTACGGAGTTTACTAATGCGAGATGGCGATGCATTGGTTGGAACATCAAACGAGATAATAACATTTAGCTTTATAAGCTGTGCCAGCAAATTAACAATTGGATAAACAAGAAATCAATACATCAATGCCAATTCTCAAGCACAAAAATATATTATTAAAATGATGCTTTCAGAAAACACCTACTCCATGAACCTGAAACAATTAAAGGTTTAAATTACCCTGTAAGTTAATTTCCTATCAGCCGCTTGTTATAGGTCTATTCTGTAATTTTCAAAAATATAAAATTTAACTTTGACTTTTTAGTGATGTCTAGTTGAACGCTTCTCTCTCTCCTGTGGGAAGCTTTAGATCAGGCTCCACTGCACTGAGAGGAGAAAAATAATGTTCCACCATATCTTCCGACACTTCTTCCAAGCTTGGAGGATTCCACTGCATTTTTCAGTATAGATGGAAATACAATTACTTCAAATTACATGTTTGTTTTTAAGGCCAAATTTATCTAAAGATTGATTATTTCGAAAATCTACAAGAAAACACTAGCGTCCTAATTTCATTATCAAGCATGATTTCCAATCAAGGTCACTGAAATCCATCTCATAATATTATCATCATATATCCATTTTCTTGAATGGGAAAAGTGATAACGACACCTCTTACCTTCGGTGCTAAGTCCTTATCGACCATCCGTGCACGAACACCCTGAAGAAGAATTAGAAAACAAACTATATTGATAAAGATTGTTAATGATTTTTCTACTAACAAATAATAAGTTCTAATACCTCACAAAAGTCACTAGATATAAGCTTGGATGTTCCCTGCAAGGACATTCGATATTCACGGACCAAGCACTGGTCGAGTGTTTGAAATCTACCTTCACGTATCTGGAACAACAGACAGCAGTGGTTCAGTTCATGATGCAATAGTTTCAAAAGAGAGAGCATAGAAAAATGAGTGGAATGGACTCACAGATCTTAAGGAAACCTTCAAGCTTAATGGTGATGCTTCCTTGAGTCTTCTTAGAGTGGAATTGCAAAATGCATCTTTAGTACCAGAAGCCTCACTTTCCTGAGAGAAATAGTAAATCAGCAAATTGCATGTTTATAATGTTAAGGAAGCAATTAGAGTCGCTAATCTGGTGGAGGCATTTCCGGGATCAGTAGATAACAGTTGAAAAGACCGTCCCACAATTCACAAATCCTGCTGAAATAGTTGAAATTGGCTAAAGAATTCAAGATTTTACAATTCATTTTTAACATGGTAAAGGCCTTGATAAACTTTATCAATAACCAACATACTCTCAATATTTTCATGACAGAATTTCCCAAGATAGCCAAACTGTTGAGTAAACTAACTCGCCCAAACAGGAATCTCCTGATGGAAGTCCTGTTCCAGTGAAAAATACTTCATTTCCACTCCTTTTCCCTTTTCTTACTGCTTTTCACTCCCTTGTTTACTTGTTAAAAACTTTATCAAAACTTAGTGATATTTGCAAGATTCATTCTGTGGCCCTGAACTAACAAAAAGCATGAATCTGAAAATATATGCTTACCAGAGCATCAAATATTTCTTCAACTGTGTCATGGCTGAAACATTTATCGACAGTTTCAATCCTACACAAATAATACAACATGGGATCAATTAACTTGATCACTATATCAACAAACTTAGTAAGCTTTATGGAAATTTTCACGTTATTTTAAATACTGCACTGTATTTAATATGAAATGGAATGACAGTAAATTTGTTTGCTTTCAAGAAGAACTTAGAACTACAACTTCTGCAACTCAGTTTTTTTCACATTGTAAAACAAACCTGTGAATTACACTCATCTTATCTGGATGGACAAGGTCGCTGTACTTTTCTAAATGAGCTTCAATAACAGAAGGATCATCAGTGACCAGTTCCCCAAGCTGTTGCTCAAGTAACTGAAGCCTCTGTGGGGTGAAAAATAAAAAGGACAGATTGAAGTTAACAATGACAGACAACCAAAACAAGGAAAAAGTAGAAAAGAGTATATCATTACCTCACTATATGAATAATGGGTAGCCAGGCCACAGGCAACCATTTCAGCTCCACTGAGGGTTTCTGAAGTTAGAGCCAAGTATTCCCCTGCAAACAGGAATTAACTTCATATCAGAATCATTCCAACCACCACTTTACCCATTGGGCATAGAAAGACACTCACACCTTGCAGCAAAAAATGAATTCCATATATGGAGAACCAGGAATCATTGCACTAAGCAAATTCAAGAAATATTAAGACTTCAGACCTAACTCCAAAGAGAAATTTTCATCAGAGTGAGTCATTTATGCAGTATCCTCAAGGTAACAGCAAAAGCCATCAGGCACTCTTTTAAGAGAAAATTGCCAAATCAACTGAATGAAAATTAAGGAGGACGGGGAGGGGGATGGGAGAAGGTGGGACATATCATTAATTTATACTCCATTTTATTGTTCTGGAAAGGATAAACATTATGCTGCCAATTGCCATAAGATGATTCAGGGGAAAAAAATTACAGGGAAAAGAAAAGAAATATGATTATGCAAGAATACCTAAGCGACCAGGTAGATGAGAGAGGTAGAAAGATGCACCAGCATCAGGATGGAATCCAATAAGAGTTTCAGGGGTAGCAAAGACCTGGCAAAATGTTAGGACAAGATGCATTATTAATCACAAGCTTAAATAAACTATAATTCATAACAGAGAAACTAAAGCAGATTAAGTATTTAGAATAGTTTCCACTGGTAAATCACAAGAAATAGGAAATGAAGGATCAATAATATTCACTTATGGTCTTAAACAAGCCTTAACTTTTCAAAACTTGCACATAAAACGCAAGATACACAAGTCATGTGATGAAGATTTTCTGATATTTTTCAAACATGAGAGCAAAAAGAATACCAAGATTTTCTGAATAATTTTGATAAATCAATGATTATGAACAAGTAAAAAGTAATAGGTGCATCATTTTTATATTTCATACAGTTTTATCAGTTGCAACACGGAATGTTCCAGGTATTGAAACTCCACCACCACCACCCATGGTAATTCCATCCAAAATAGCCACCTACAGGGAGATAATTAATGCACCACTCAAAAAATTAACAAAAGAACTGTGCTACCAGAATGAGTTGTAGTTTTTCCCAACATACAAAGATACAATTTTTCATATTGTCTCAAAATTTCCGCAAAACAAGGAAAAAAATCTAGTGATTTGCAGAAGTGGCTAGTGACCTGAGAATTATGAATACTCACATGTGGCTTCAAATAAGTACCTAGTATGTATATGAAAGTATACAGTGTCCGAAAAAATTCCTTACAATCTTCCAATCTCCCTGCATGTATCGTAGCAAACACTTTACTGGAATACCTTACGGTGATCAATAAATTATATAACCATTTAAAATAATAATGTAATAGTAGAATTGGCTCAAATGTTGTTATACAGGGTCTTCAGAGGGACAGTAGTCTTATCTCTTTACCTTGGTTTATCAAGTGATAAAGAGCAACAATGTCTCCACCTGCACAAAATGCCCTGCCACTACCCTTCACAGATTGAAAATAACTTCTAAGTATTCCTTACTGGAAATTGAAACTGATTTCAATGAAAAATAATAATAATTAAATTTAAATTAAAAAAAAAAAAAAAATAAGCCACTGAGTGAAAATTGGATTGGAATATTACCTTCATCGCCACAAAACCAATATCCGGATTATCCTCCCAAGATGTATACAATTTTAGCAATCTAGCACCCTAAGATTGTTATGCAAATACACACAATTAGATGAGAAATACTCGTATAATTACAAAATAAATAAATAAAGGCAGAAGTGCACCATATTAGTATTAAGAGCATTGAGAGCAGAAGGTCTATTGAGAATGGCGGTTCTGGAATAAGCTTTACCTTCGACTAATACCTGCCTCGGGCAGCAATAATCATCAAAATGTTAATTAAAGAAATTGAACACAGAACTACGAGTTAATTAAATCGGGTGTGGATACTAACATAACGACCTGGTTCTCGAGATTGTCATCGATTGGGTTATTGCTTGGAGGAGAAGAGACGGTTCTGTAGTGGTTAAAAGGAAGAGAGCCACCACTCCGAGCTCTACTTCGCCTTATGATGAAGGCTGCTGCTGCCTTCAATCTCTGCATTACTGCTTCCTACGCTTTTGTTTAGGGTATCGAATTTTCTGCTCAAAATTTAGGTATCACCTCTATCCCTCTCCCAATCTCCGGCAGAGCATAGACTGTTAGTTTGCTCTCGTCTGATCGGAATGGGATATGCACAAGGAAAATGGAGAAGTAATGAGAAATTACAGCTCACCCACAGTGCTCACTGATAGTTACTAAATTCCGCATAGTTTGACTACAGGATCACACTTATCCTTGACCAGAATATTGGGCTATTTTGAACATGGATGTAACTCGACCTAATTCATGGATGCCGTTCCCTCCCTAACAGCCACTTCCCCCTACCCCTGTCAAGGCCCAAGTTCCAACACCCATCAATCGTTACTAAATCCAATTGATAATTTTTTTTTATTTTTAAATTATTTTATTTGATTATGATTTGTATAGATAAAAATTGGAACAAAAGGTTGATGCAATTCTTAAAAATCTTAAAAAAATAAGAATAAATAAATTAATTAATTAATTAAACCGAGTTTAACTGGTTTTGATTTGATCGAATTTTGCTAATAATTATTAATTTGATTTAATAATTTCGATTGAAGGAGCCTTATTTGCTAATTTACAGTTAGTGGCTTAATAACTTACCTAAGTAAATGTGAAAAAGAAGCATATTTTAATGGCTCGAACTTTATTAGGAGGAATAAAGAAAAAAGGAAAAAAAAAATCAGTGGGAAAGCATATGATTGTGGATTTCTGATAATAGTATATTTTTCTCTGAAATTTTGTCATCAAACAATAAATTTATTTATTTTATTATATTCAAACACAATGTTAAAAAAACAAAAATGGAAAAGTACTACCAACAACATCTTAATATTATATTTAAATTAGATATCCAGTGCTTAATAAAATGTAAAAATCAGGAAAAATATATAATTGTCGATTTAATAATAATAATATTTTTTTTTCTGAAACTTTATGTTAAATAAAGAAAAATAAATTTATTTTATTTTCTTTATTGTATCCAAATATAATGATAAAAAATAATTATGTAACAAAAATTGATAATATAAACAAGTACTGTCAAAAACACGTTAATATTTAAATTGAATATTCAGTACTTAATAAAGTGTAAAAAATCAATAATGAGGTGGAATACTTAATAAAGTGACATTTGACATCGCAACAAAATCTGCACTTGTAATTTATTCTGTACCAAAAAAAGAAAAAAAAAAAAAAAAAAATCGACTTAATAATAATAATATTTTTTTTTCTGAAACTTTATGTTAATTAAAGAAAAATAAATTTATTTTATTTTCTTTATTGTTATCCAATATAATGATAAAATAATTATGTAACAAAAATTGATAATATAAACCAAGTTACTGTCAAAAAACACGTTAATATTTAAATTGAATATTCAGTACTTAATAAAGTGTAAAAAAATCCAATAATGAGGGTGAATACTTAATAAATGACATTGACTTCGCAACAAAAATCTTGCATCTGTAATTTATTCTGTACCAAAAAAAGAAAAAAAAAAAAAAGCGAAAAACAAAGTTCCCATTATATTAAAAAAAAAAAAAAAAAAAAAAAAAAGCGAAAAACAAAGTTCCATTTATTGCATAAAACCCAAATAAGGACCAAGAAGCATGGAGATTTCATACATGGAAAGGCAAGTTTGAGTTGAAATGGTTTAATGGTGACACACGTCCTGTTGTAACTGTAAAGCAGGGCGTCTCATCATCACTGTCACGGTTATCTATATCCTCGATTTTCGTCACTCTTGGTCCGCTTCCTCATCTCAATCACTTCCATCTATATAATTAGCCAGTCTCTCCTTTTTTTATCACCATCTCTCTTTTCTCTCTCAGATTCAACAAAACACAGACTTTCTATCTGCAATGGCAAACGCCCCCCTTAGAGTTTTGGTCACTGGCGCTGCTGGTACTCTTCTTTTTACTCTTCGTATATATTTGTTTCTCGAAAAATTTTTTGGAACATAATAATATTCCCATAAATATGTTCACCATACAAAAAAATTGTATGCCCATGCAGAGAATAGGTTCTTTACTTCAGAAAGTAGAGATCTTTTATATTTTTCGATTTGGGTATGGGTTTTGTTTTGGTATCTTTTTGCCTTGTCATGGAGGTGTTTGCCTAGATGCTTTCTTTCGTTGGTACTACATATATCTACAGTCTTTTTTTGGAAGAATGCATCGCATTGTTGATTTAAACAGTATCCATTTCTACTATCTATCTGTTTGTTAGAGATGGATTTGGATTTTGATTATATTGTATTGCTTCAGAAATTTTTGGTTCTGTTGTTTGTTATTACTCTTTCTTTCAAGATGATTAGATATATGTGCAGCTTCCTAAATGTAGAAAAGGAACCTGTGAGAGTTCTGGTAACTGGCGCTGCAGGCAAGCTTAGAAAAATTATAAGTGACGTTTTCGTATATTTTGGATAAAATTCTGAATTTTTCTATGGATATTCACCTTTAGTTTTTAGCAAAGGAGAGTATGAACCTGTAACTTTTAATTTAATTTCTTGTTCTACAGGGCAAATAGGCTATGCTATTGTTCCAATGATTGCTAGAGGAGTCATGCTAGGCCCTGATCAACCTGTAATTCTGCACATGCTTGATATTGAACCTGCAGCTGAGGCCTTGAACGGGGTGAAAATGGAAATGATAGATGCAGCCTTTCCTCTGCTAAAAGGTAAACTTTATAAATGCCTGAATTATTTGAAGGTAGATTTTACAATTTTCTATTTTTAGGTTAATTCTGAAAATTTTGTCCTTTGTCCTGTTGGACAGGAGTTATTGCTACTACTGATGTTGTTGAAGCATGCATGGGAGTCAATGTTGCGGTTATGGTTGGTGGGTTTCCACGAAAAGAAGGTATGGAGAGAAAGGATGTGATGTCTAAAAATGTATCTATTTACAAGGCTCAGGCTTCAGCATTGGAGAAGCATGCTGCTGCAGATTGCAAGGTGCATAATCCTCTGAACTAAATTTATCTGGCACCAATGCACCTAATGGGGCTTCTGAGACCTTGTTGCTCTCTCATGTCATGTTGATGTTTGCAATTTTCATTTATTTGTTATGCAGGTGCTAGTGGTGGCAAATCCAGCAAATACCAATGCACTCATCTTGAAAGAGTTTGCACCTTCAATCCCAGAGAAAAACATTACATGTCTTACACGACTTGATCATAACAGAGCATTAGGCCAAATCTCTGAGAGGCTAGATGTTCCTGTTAGTGATGTGAAGAATGTCATCATATGGGGAAATCATTCATCAACTCAGTATCCTGATGTCAATCATGCAACTGTCACAACCAGCGGCAGAGAGAAGCCTGTCAGAGAACTTGTTGCTGATGATCAATGGTAGAGATATTCTTCTCTTATTCTAAGTTTCAAGAAATTCAAGATTGTTGTATTGATGAAATGTTTTTAGAAGCGTAATGCCTTGCCTTGCATAGGAACCAGAATATTCTTCGAGATGCATGTTATCTGGTTGTATACTATAAATTTTAGTACACTCTACTAACATGTCACCAAATGCAGGTTGAACACTGAATTCATCACCACTGTTCAGCAACGAGGTGCAGCCATCATCAAAGCTCGAAAGATGTCAAGTGCATTATCTGCTGCAGGTGCTGCTTGTGATCATATACGAGATTGGGTTCTTGGGACACCTAAGGTTAATTTTTTTTTTTTTTTTTTTATTTTCTAAAGTGATTATATACGAGATTGGGTTTTTAGACACCTAAGTGTTAATTTTTTTTTTTTTTTTTTTTTTTTTAATTTTCTAAAAGAAATTATTTGAATGCGGCAAAAGATTGTAAGCATAGTGAGATTTTGTTTTTTTTTTTTTTTCATCTTCCTGCTTCTTGCTATTTCAGGGACAATGGGTATCTATGGAGCTGACCTAAGGTTTTTTTTTTTTTTTTTTTTAATTTTCTAAAAGAACATTATTTAATGCGGCAAAACTTGTAACATAGTGAGATTTTGTTTTTTTTTTTTTTTCTCTCCTGCTTCTTGCTTTCAGGGAACATGGGTATCTATGGGAGTGTATTCTGATGGATCTTATGGGATTCAACCTGGTCTTATTTATTCTTTTCCTGTTACATGCGAGAAAGGAAATTGGTCTATTGTGCAGGGTAAGTCCTTCTTATTTGTGTATAAATTACTTTTTCATGTATTTGTATTTTTTCGTTACTATTTTGCCATATTGGTTGATGGGGCTAAATTTTAGTGCACTATTCTCTGATTGTTACAAATGCAGGGCTAAAGATTGATGAGTTTTCAAGGGCGAAAATGGATGCAACAGCGAAAGAGCTAACGGAAGAAAAATCCTTGGCCTATTCATGTCTCAATTGAAAATGTTCTCATTTTATCTTTGGAGAATAATGAAAGAAACTCAAAACATCCAAGAACAATAACAGAAATTAAGAGGCAACACGTTTCTTTTGTAATTTTAGATAGTTAATAAATTTCAGTTTTCATTGAAGTTGCTGTTTTCTTTTCCCGGATATGTTTACAGTCAATGTTCGTTACTGATGGCGATTAGCTGATTACCATTCTACCATGCAAAATAACATAAACTCAGATAAGCAATCTTAGTAATAACAAATGGCAAAATTGCAAGAAAGGGAAGTTGGTAAATGCAAGGGAAAATTTTTCCCTTGTCTGGTGTTGGTGAGAGTTTTACCTGGAAAAATTTATCGCTTTTGGCAAGGCATTCTTCACCTGTCAGAATTGTGCTTAAAAGGAAAAAGGAATTGGAAAAAATTCATAAATGAAATTTTAAGCGTATATAAAAATCCAGGAACTCAATTAAACAGGCTCTCTGTACAAAACTCTCTACTCTCTTTTGAGAATGTCATATTTTTATTTTTAGTTCGTCTACAGCAATGGCAAAAGATACGATCAGAGTATTGGTCACCGGTGCTGCTGGCAATCCAATCTTCTTGGCTTTTTTGCCTTATTTTTTCAGAAGTCATTTTTAGGGTTGAAGAAAGGAAGAAATGTCAAAGATTTTAGCTTTTTTCTTCTTTTCTAATCGCTCTAATCTTCTATTACATTAAATTTTAGTGAAAGGATGGTGATCGAGAAATTCAATTTAGGGTTTGTTAATTTTCTTGCACAGGGCAAATAGGCTATGCTCTTGTCCAATGGTAGCAAGAGGGATCATGTTAGGGCTAGATCAGCCTGTAATTCTTCACATGCTTGATATTGAATCTGCAGCTAAGGCCCTGGAAGGAGTGAAATGGAATTAATTGATGCTTCCTTTCCTCTTCTTCCCCGTATGTCTTCTAATTTTGATTGCTAACCTAATGTAGGTTTTATTTAAAAAGACTAATTCAGTAATATAAACAATGTTCAGTTGTTTGCTCGTTTTAGCGAACGTCAAAACATAAAATAGCTGTCGTTCACCAACGAAACGGATTGGGCGTTTGGCGTGTAATTTCAGCAACTTTACACCGTAGTAGCCCAAACAACTGGGCCTTAGAAACCAAAACCCAACCGATTAAGGAGCCGTTTTCGGCCATAATAGATCTTTGAAACTACTTTCAAAAAGTTTCAAAACCTTTGAATTCTCTGCAACCGCCAGAACCCGCTGAATTCTGATTCCCTCTCTTCTGCGACTGTTTGAATTTTGGCATTTTTGAAGAATTATTGATCATTCCCGCTCTGAAAGCGTAAATTTTACTCCATTTTGTTTTAAATAGAAGAGGCAATTTTCTTAGACACTAGTCAGTAGAATTGATTATCAATTAGGATTTTCCAAGGCATGTCAATTTTGTAACGCTGTATCCGTTTTTTGAAAAGCTTGAATAATTGAATTTTTTAAATCTCTTTTCTATTTAAATGATACATTCAGGGTAATTCTTAAGGATTCAAAAGATGGATGAGTCTACGAAGCAATTTCAGCAAAGCTTGGTTTAGCTTGAAATTGAAGCTCAGCCACCTCCTTTAGCGCGGCATCAGGTCATTCATGCCCTTTTAACTTCATGTCTCTCAAATAACACTTGGATAAATCTCTTTGTTTGCTGAGAGATGTGAGGGAAAGGAAAATCCATCATTAGAGTTACATGATGTACCTCTGAAAGCATTTGCCCTTACTGAGAAAGTAGAGAAAAATAATGCTAGGAAATTGAGTTTAGAAGAACATCCAAAAGTTTTTGAGAACATAAGATGAATGTATTTTGAAATACTGTTTTAGGTTTATATTATAAGGAGTTTGAGAAATCAAAGTTTTTGTTCGATTGAGTTTTGCACGTTCAAATTTTTCAATGGCTTCTTGCCATAGATAGTTGATTTTGTTACTTATTTTGTGTAGCTTTTTCTATCAGAAACTAGATTCCATTAACCTTTGAATCAATGATGAAGGGTATTCCGAGGTCTGTGTCAAGGCCCCTGTTGAGGGAGGTATGTTCGACATGTGGCAATCCTAACTCAAATGAGTTGTGGATGATGTTCCATGGAATCGATGTTTTTGCTACTATACAATTTCATGCTGCTCACATCATCTTGGAGACAGGTTTTCTCTATGACTTGTAATTTTGATAGATTATGTGTGTGAGTTAATCAATATGCTAGATTAACTAGAAATATCTTGTCCCACACCAAATGAGCCAGTCTCTTAGAGGTAGAGCCAGAACTGGGAGTCCTTGTTGAGTAGTTGAACAACTGTTACCACCTGCTACCCAGAGAAAGTTAACTTTCCCCAAATTTCCACCTCGAATTTGGGCAGTTTTTAGTGGGCCTGTTGGGTATTTGTTATCAGAGAGGATATTACTCGGTTCATACTGCATTGTGGTTATGGACAATAACTAGTTTTGGGCATTGTCCAATACTTTGATAGTTTTGCATGAGGTGGTTGCTCACCAACTCAAAATCTAGATCTTAGCACATTATTTAAGACTTTAGCATGGCACCAATTGATACCGTTAACCAGAAACTGTAATGTTGGCAATAAAAAGAAAATATAGTTTGGTTTCCGGGGAGATGAGGGAACTTTCACCTGTGCAGGAAAAAGAAAAGAGCCATTGCACTTGGAGAGTCTTGAAAAATAACTCAAACTAACAACAATATGAGAAATCTTATCAACATGCTTCTGTTATGAACACAAGTTATGTGACAATGGCAAATGGCCTTCGACAAACAACTAGTGAGATTGCTATAAATTCACCAATTCAGAGTCAAATTAATAGTTTATATAACATTTCTTGGATTGATCTTTTTATCAATATCTTCTTTGTTCATTATATTTAGTTTCATTGAGTCTTCCCCTTTTGCTGATTAATTGGCCATATTCTCCATTTGCGACATCGAGGCACAGTATGAACACATTCAAACTGCGTAGACTACCTCTCACACTAAAGCAAGGGGGCTTTCAATGTCGCTTTTTATTCCTCCACATTTTCTCAAGTAGAGCACTTCACGAAACTTCAAACACATTTGGAATAGCTGAAAAACATAAATGTAGTAGCAATAACAAAACCCTTGGAGATTAAAGCTTGAATCAAATCATCATCATCTTACTTTCAGGTGCCAAAATTGAACCAAGCCTCAATTTTCTACGAGATGACTCAATTTGGTGTAAATAGAGGAGATAAACACCACGTTGTCTGCAGAACTTGAAGAAAAATCTATATGGAAAGTGTAGTTTGTAGAATGCATGAGACTCCTGTCCAATTATTTTTTCCTTGAAAGATAAAACAAGAATTCATTGAGAAGGAAAACGCAAGGATGATTACACCAAGGAGGTAAGGAGTTCACCCCATGAGTGATACGAGGATGTTGCGGAATTTAGCGTGGTAATGGATAAATATTTAGTTTCGGTAATTGATGATAAAATGAGAAGTAAAATAATAAATGGAAGAGACACAGAATTGTCGGGTAATGGGATAAAAATATTTAGTTCGTAATGATGATAAAATGAGAGCTAAAAATAAATAAAGTGGGACACGGAATTTACGTGGAAGAACCCATCCAAAGTGCAGAAGGGAAAAAACCACGGGCGAGAGGGGAAGGTAAATGCGACTATGGAAAAAATAATGAGATTACAAGCTGAATTTACAGCCAACACCAAAGAATTACACTCAAAAATAAAACTCACTGACACTCAAATTGAATATGACAAGAGGTGCCTGCTATTATAACGATATATATGATATATATGAAAAAGGTATATATATGAAAAAGGTGGTATATGAAGAGAGTGAATAGTTTAGAGAAATGCTCTTGGAGGATTTCTCTCTTGGATGAATTTCACTTGGTTGGATGTTATATTAATTTGCTTCAAGCAAGGTTGCCTTATATAGAGGTGTATCTCCATGTGAACAAACTTTAAGTCTTCCTTCCATTGTTGAAGATGTGCCATCTTAGTCCAAGTTACCTCACCAACATTGCCAACCAACATTGAATCTTCTTAGCCACCAAAAGACTAGTAGTGTGAACCAACATTGAAGCCACCAAAAGACTAGTATAAGCCATGAAAAACATGTTTCTTAGCCACCAAAGGACTAGGACTATTAGTGTGAATCTTAGAATTATAAGGCAATTTTTAACAATCTTCCACCTTTGACTTTAAATTCTAAGATGATCTCGCTTACCAAAATGATGTGCATATTCCTTTCTCGTCTGCCCTAAAGGGCCTTTAAATTGGTGGGAACACCGATCAAGTTCCAAGCAATGCTTGAACTTGAGATTTTGGAACTGGTTTCGTGAGCATATTCCGCAGAGATTATTAGTTGTAGCAATACTTTTTTTTGGGGTTCACGTATGATCTTCCCATTGCCACAACATCCCCAGCAATAAAATACTTGGCCTCACATCAATGTGCTTGGTCCTTTCATGATTACATCTGATTTTTAGTTTAAAATGAATAGCACTTTGACTATTCACAAAATACCAAGTAACAATAACAACATCTACAAAATACAGTAACAACATCTTGGGTTAAACCAAGATCAGTAACCAAACCTCTTAACTAGATTGCTTCTTTGACTCCTTCAGTGATTGCAATATATTCTGTCTCCGTAGTTGACAGTGCCACAATGGACTGGAGGCTAGCTTTTCAGCTAATGGCAGAATTGCATAAAGTAAATACATAACCTGACAAAGACCTTCTCTTATCAAGACCACCTGCATAATCAGAGTCAACATATCCAATAACAATATTCGGTGTCACCTTATTCCTATCAAAAACCAATCCAGTGTCCACAGAACCTTTCAAGTAGCGGAATATCCATTTAACTGCTTGTCAATGTTCTTTACCTGGATTACTCATGTACCTGCTCACAACACCTCACAACACTAACTGCCTGTGCAAGATCAGGTCTAGTGCATACCATAGCATACATAAGACTACCAACTGCACTAGAATAGGGCACATGTGACAATTGCTCTTTTTCTTCATTGGACTGAGGGCAAAAATCAGATGATAATTTAAAATGAGCTGCAAGAGGAGTACTCACAGGTTTTGAGTTACTCATATTGAATCTCTCAAGAACCTTCTCAATGTAATTTCTTTGAGATAAATACAATTTTCCAGCTGATCGGTCTCTAAGAATCTCCATACCAAGAATTTTCTTGGCAGCACCAAGATCTTTCATCTCAAATTCACTGCTCAACTGATCTTTCAATTCTTTGATTAATGACTTATCACGAGCAGCAATTAGCATGTCATCAACATATAACAATAAGTAGACAAAAGATCCATTTGAAAACTTCTTGTGATAAACACAATTATCATACTGACTACGACAATACCCATGTTCAACCAATTATCATACTGACTACGACAATACCCATGTTCAACCATAAAGGAATCAAACCTTTTGTACCATTGTCTCGGGGACTGTTTTAGTCCATAAAGAGACTTCTTCAAGTGACAAACGTAGTCTTCTTTTCCAGGAACAACAAAACCTTCTGGTTGTTGCATATAAATCTGCTCCTCGAGCTCTCCATGTAAGAAAGCAGTCTTGACATCAAGTTGTTCTAATTCAAGATCCTGCAAGGCATCAAGGGCAAGAAGTACACGTATAGAAGTGTGACGAACAACAGGAGAAAACACTTCATTAAAGTCTACACCATGTTTTTGAGTATAGCCTTTAGCAACTAAACGTGCTTTATATCTTTGATATCTTGCATCTTTCAACTCCGGGGTTGCCTTCTTTTCTTCTTTATAGACCCATTTACAGCCTACAACTCTTTGGCCTTTTTGGCAATTGACCATTTCCAAGTATCATCTTTGCGTTTTGTGCAGAGATTTCAATTCTTCTTGGCATCGCAACTTGCCACTCAGAAGAATTTTAGGCATGAGATCTGCTTCAGGAGTATGTGTGAGGTCTCCACCTTTCAACTGTATCCTCTGCAACTGCAAGAGCATCCTCTGCAGCTGCAAGAGCATAAGCAACCAAATTCCCTTCATTATATCTTTCAGGCCGTTTGATTTCTCTCCTGGGTCTATCTCTGGCAATAGAATAGTCTTCACGACGATCTGGTTCAATGGAATCAGGAACCTCTGATGTGATCGGAGATGAGGAAATATTCTCCTTACTAGGAGTTGGTATTTCAAACTCAAGCTCCACCTTCTCGTCAGTTTTCTTTGAATCACCTGTGTCAGACGGAGAAGAACTGACAGTTTCTTTTTCAGGGAGAATTAGCACATTTTCATTGAAAGTAACGTCTCTACTAATAATTACTTTCTTAAGTTCAGGACACCACCACCACAAAAAGCGAGTACCCTTTCACACCAGACTGCATAACCAATAAATATGCATTTTCGAGCTCTAGGCTCCTAATTTTCCCTGATTTATATGTGCATATGGCAGGGACATTCCAAAAATTTTCAAAATTTGAATAATCAACAGAATAATCAACAGGATTACCTGACCAAACTTCCTCTGGAATCTTGAAGTCGAGTGATGTGTGTGGGGAACGATTCACCAAATAACATGCGGTAGATGCTGCTTCGGCCCAAAATTCTTTAGGCAAGGTAGCATTAGAGAGCATGCAACGAACTCTCTCCATCAATGTCCTGTTCATCCGTTCTGCAACTCCATTTTGTTGAGGGGTACCGGCAACCGTGCAGTGTCTCACAATTCCTTCATTTTCACAGAATGCATTGAAATCACCTCCATAAAATTCTAGACCATTATCGGTCCTGAGTCGCTTGACCTTCTTCCCTGTCTGGTTTTCCATCAAAATCTTCCACTTCTTAATAAAAGTGGAAAAACTTCATCTTTGTGCTCTTTTTAAAAAAAATAAGCCCAGGACTTTACGGAGGAAAAAATCATCAATAATTGGTTAGCATGTAATGATGCCCTCCTTTTGAAGGAACACGTGAGGGTCCCCAAAGTTCTGAATGAATTATTAGTCAAGAGTACCTTTGGTTCTATGAATTCCACACCAGCGGGTACCGAAAGTAATCTTTTTCTGCTTACCGAGAATTGCAATTTCACAGAACTCCAAACCTACCGGGTTATTCTGCACCACACAAAAGACCTCTCTTGCTTAGGATTGGGTCATTCCTTTTTCACTTCAGTCTTTTTCACTCATATGGCCAAGTCGCATATGCCATAATTTTGTGACATCTGAATCTGACATAGATAATGATACAGCAGCAGAACTTGTAACAGTAGATCCCTGCAATACATACAAGCTTCCAGATCTGTTAGCTTTCATTAAAATAAGAGCACCTTTAGAGACCTTTAGAACTCCACCTTCAGCTGCATATTTACACCCAAGGGACTCCAGAGTGCCAAGAGAGATAAGGTTCCGTTTCAAGTCGGGAACATGTCTAACACCGGTTAAAGTTCTAATCATGCCATCATGCATTTTAATTCTAATTGTTCCTTTTCGTTCTTTACCACAACTTTCACTGAACATTATCTCCCCATTAAGACAATACCACAATCACAGATTCCATAAGTGGTAAAGACCCAAGATTCATAAGTGGTAAACCAATCTTTATGGGGACACATGTGATAGGAACAAGCAGAATCTAGAATCCACTCCGTTTTAGATCTAGTTCCAAAATCAGTAACAGACAAAACTTCACCTTCAGACTCCTTTTGAGCAACACTTGCTTCAGCTGAATTTTCTGAATTTTTTTTATTATTATTTTCGCCCTTTTGCTGCTTATTTTTCAACTTAAAGCATTCTGAAATTGCATGTCCCTTTTTC